TGAATTAAAATGGCTAATACCTCAGAAACTGAAAACACTCTCTGGAAGGAGTCAACAGAATTTTAAGTATATATTTTCTTTTACTTTAAATATTTGTTTGGCTTTTAATAACATATAATGTCCTTAATTTAGAGTCATATTAGATATTTTTAAAGAAAATGCCTTTAAGTGAATTACTGCATGATGCTTTGTGTAATACAGATAAAAGCTAGTTACTCAAGCCTATTATTTATTAAATCTCTTCAGGCTCCCTGAAACCACGAATGGACATTTAATTAGTCTTGGAAAAATTACCTCTGGGTGAATGTATCAAATTGCAAAAAGATGGAATTTTGTGTAAAGTTTTGCAAACTAAAACTAAGGGTTACAAATTCCCAATTATATTTCTAAATGCAGAAGAAATAGAATAACAATATGAAGTGGATCCATGTGAGTTATTAAATTGTCTCTTAACTTCAGCCACAATTGGAGCTGAGTCTCTGCAAACCACATTTCTGTAGGGGCAGTTGGCTCGTTGCAAGGCTTGGCCAATAAAGACCAGACAGAGGACTGTATGTCTGGAGCAGGAGAGGACTTGATCCTTTCTGTTTCCTTCCTTTTTGTTTTGGCTTTCTTTTTCTTAAATCAATATTGCTCCAGCCTTGTTTCTTCAACCTGTCAGCAACAATCCATTGCAGGGGCAGCAACTGAATCCAGTTTTAAGTCTTTAAGAAGAGTCTTTTTCAAAACAGTCTCTTCTCTTTCCCTAAAAGACCCCAGCACCAGTGGTATCCCCAACCTAGAGGTCTGGGTTCCAGCTGCAAAGGCTTCCACTCCAGGCTGAGAAGCAGTAGTAGCCATAGTTGAGCAGAACCTCCTCACAGTTACAGCTAAGCCCCTTTTTTTGATGGGAAGCTTGGATAGTTCTCACCTCATCCTGTTTCTCCAGTCCTCATAGTGGTAGCAGCTTCCTGTAATTGCTGTAAAACTCCATTATGCCATAGGGTTTTCTTTTTGATTTTTCATTACTATTTTATATAATATACATGTTAAATATAATTTTGTGATTTCTATTTTTCCTAACGCAAAACAAAGCAGTCTGGGAGTTCAAGGAAATAGCTGAGTATGTGCTCTCTGAAGGTAAATATGTTCAGCTGGAACTAGAATTTCTGGAACCAGAAGGGGAAACAATCTCAGAAAATCATCTGAAGTAGGAGTTACTTTTATGCTCATTTCATAGATAAGATAGTTGGTTTTGTGGTATTAAATCACTTGTCCAAGTTTGCCCCACTCATTTAAAAGAGAAAAGGTTAACAATAAATACAAGAAGAGTGTAACTCACCAGAAATTACTGTGGATAAAACTGTTAGCACTGACGCTGTAAGCTATTCACCTTGTCTAGGCTCCTCATTCTGTTTTCCTTTATTGGGGCTCTATGTTCACAGTCTGTTTTCCGTTATTGGGGTTCTATGTTCACAGGGGACTCCTGGTTACACCCACCAGTAGCAGATGCTTATATCTTTCTTAGCCAAATGCAAAAAAAAAAAAAGAATATAAACTAGTAAGAGCACAGACTGCTCAGACAGTCTGCTAGCAATAAAACCATACTTATTTTTTGACACTGATACACCAGATTTTATATAAGCAAAAGAGATTCTTTGCAAATTGTACTGAGGTAGCTTTTTTGTGTATGGACAAACACCTGAAAGCTTCATACTCCGTGTAATGCTAGCAAAAACAGGGAAGGCTTTCTGTCGTTTGGGCAGATGGGTAAAGAGAGTCCTGGAGCCCTCAATGGTGGCTTTAATGCTCTTTCTAGGCCAATTGTTATAGGGCAAGCCCACAGGCGAGCAAGCAGAGGAGGGGGTCAGGCCTCTCAGCACCCCCCTCCCCCCGGCGCAAATCTTTAACTCTTCTGGTCTCTCTGGCGTCATCATGTGGTCCTGTCACGCCTCACACTTGTGCCTGTCCAGGTGTCCAGGTGTGCACAATCAGGCATGCGTGCCTTGGGTCCATGCTCCCAAACTCCTTCTGCATTCAAGACTGCAGGTGATAGTCATGATAACCACAGGCAAGGAGCATAAAATCCTGCGTAATTCACTTACCCTACACTCTATAATTAGCTAACTAGTAAAGACTTTGGTAGGCAAGGAAAGATTCTCTTTCTTTTTCTCATCTATCTGTTTTTCTGGAGGATCTAGTTATCTAGCTGGCTGTCATCTACCTAATGAGTTACTGAGCTATATTTTATAGCTAGAAAATGCTGATTTTGGTTTTTTACTTGCTTTCAAATGCTCACTTACTTTGACAGATAGGAGAACTGATAACCTGACTACTTGCCCAGATTTATAAGGTGAGTTCCCAGAATTTAGATACTCTGCCATCTAGAACAAACTCCATTTTAGGTAGAAATTATTTAAATGCAGAAAAAAAGTCACATGATGAAAATATTTAAGAATTTAATGCTAAAACACTTTGATATGGACAGATTTAAGGACAATATATATTAATTGAAAACTTTCTTTACAGCAACTGAGGCTAATGTTCTACATTCTGAAAAAAGAAACTATCAGAAAATGTGTTTAAACTGTCAAAGACTAAAATTTTCCAATAGTATTTAGACAATGCTACCTTGTCTTATGAGTAAATACAATTATTCTGATGCTGTCAGATCTTCATGTCATTTTTAGGACAAATTATAAACTATCTGATATTTAAAATAAAACACATTTTGTAGAAATTATTAAAATAATTTGAGAAAAATCATCCTTAAAGATTTACATTTGGTCATAAAGTGATTACTAATGAAATAACTTGCTTAACTCAGTCATCTGAAAATAGTGGTAATAGAAGTATGTTGATAATTTCCATGTAGGTACAGATTTTCCTTATAAACCCATTGACTGATAATGTTCTACCTCAGGTTTGCATAATTACTGCATTAGTTATGGAATCTAAATTGATATGTAGCTTACAACTGCAGTTTTTCCACTAATTAATTATGTGACCTTGTGAAAACGAAAATCTTCTAAAGAGAAGGATAAATTAATAATACAAATCAAGTAGCTACTATGTGTGAAGCTTAGAGATAGTGCCCAGGATGCAACAATATGCAAAACAGAGTATCTTTCCTGACCACATGGAGGGAGGAAGGCGGTAGGAAACCTATAGTCATCACAGAAAGAAATACAGCAATACAATATATATAAAGAACTATGAAAGAAAGGGACGTTGCTGAGAGAAACAGAGGAACTAATTTAGCTTGAAAGTATCATTCATGCCGAGATCTGAAGGATCAAGTCAAGTTAACTAGATTGTGGAAAGAAGTAGGAACAGGAGAAATGACTTCAAAAAAGAAAGGTTCTGAGAGGCGAGAAGTAACCTGGTATTCTGTGGAACCAAACAAGACCCGGTAACTGGAGCCAAGAGAAGAGACCCTGACAAGGGATCATGAAGTTTCTTTCCTATTTACCATGCTTATTAGAAACTATTTTCCAGCTATGCATTTTTATACTTGGAATTTTTCTTTTTGTTTGACTATAACTAATAATTTAAGGCTTATAAGACATCTACTTTTTATTTTTGGCACAATGAATGATCTATGTACAATTTGTATTTGTCTTGCATATCTTTGAGATGATGGATTTCAGTCACCAATTTTTAATTAAATAACACAAATCTCCCAATGTCATAAACCAAATTTCAGTTACCACAAGCTATTAACTGGAATTTTTTAAAGTTCAAACTTTGCTGCTAGTGTCTTAGTCCACAAATGACTTAGTAAATAACAGATGTGCATTGTGACTACTGACTAAAAACATCTTTTTCAAAGTTTGTGAGTGATTTGACACTGTGCATCTGTTAGTCACTTTATATAGTAAATAACAAACACGACAGCAAATATGTAGTTGTATTATCTTCCAGTGAGAAAACCATGGATAATTAAAATGGATACTCAAAAGAGGGAATTGCTATTGCAAAGAATTGAAGAATACAATTTGAAGTTAAATTAAAATTAAAATGTAAATGAATTATAGGCTGGCTGACTATCAGGATGCTAGCTAGCATTCTTCTATTCAGAAACTGTAGATAAGGAGCTAGAGCAACTTGGTAAAATCAAACTTATTAACATAATTGAAGAGAGAGGTTGTAATGCGATAAAAGGGGATGAAGTTGTAGCAGAAGTGATACATGCAAAAGAACGGTACATTGAAGGAACTCTTGGAGATAGTTTATGACACTGATAAAATGTCAAGGCAGATCAAAGTTTAGAAAGGAGAATACAAATTCACGAAGGCATAAAAAAGATGGTATATTCCATATTGTAAGTTACAGAGAACATAAGCACTGTTTAGGTTACTTTTGATAATTTTTTTTTTTTTACAATTTTAAGAGCTTATTTGGGCAAAACTGTATTGGAATCAGGAAAGAAATAAAACACATCAATTCTTAGTTCTAAATACATGTTCATTATAATTTATTTCCTTTTATATTTATAATTGACATCAAGACAAAATTTTTGACAGTATTTTTTAAAGGTCATGAAAAATTATTACTTTTTCCCATTGATTTTTAACATCACTGTGTATTGTTTCCATTTTGGTTCCATACTACCAGGCAAAGCAAGACCTATCCATGATTTTTACTAAACTTTTATGTCTTATGTAAGCTGATTTATTTTAGGAGATTAAATTTATTTTATGAGTTTATAACTTTTTGTCTCAAGAAATTCTAAATCAACAACAGACCTGGGGAATAATATTGGTTAATTAATTATTTAGAATATTATTCAAATACTGGAAACCCCTTTTAAACTTAAGCACGGTCAAAATCCTGGAAGTTTAAGACTAGTATATTTCATCAGTAAGTACAATGAAATAGGAAAAACCTTGCTTTTACTTCATAAAGATATTAAAGACATCAGTCCATACTTGTGAATTGTGAATACTTGTGAATAAAATATGCAAAGTAGTTAAAAGACAATTTGCACTGATGGAAAACAGGATGAAAAATTTACCTACCGGTTGTAGAAATCATCTCTGTAGTAATCATAGTCAAAGACATAACCACTAAGGAGGGAAACAAAAAATTAGTTAACATTTGCTTTATTCACATTAATTTTATTTTTGATTTTTTGCATTTATTTTAATATCATTTCTGATGTTATATAAATAACTTTCTGCTCATTTTTAGATAATAATTTTTCAACATATAATGTATCGAGGGGTTTATGAAATAATGTCCATTTGGATGTAATACCACATCAAACTGTTGTTACATGTTGAACATGTAGGAACTATTAGTGGTTTGTGTGGTTTGGATTGGGAGAGCAGGTAACAATATAATTTTCTCCAAATACTTGTAATTAAACATGAATGCAGACTATTCCTCCCCCCCCCAAAAGTATATAATAAAGTTATTTTCTTTTTCTAAGATTTATGCAGTAAGGCCAAACAATGAACCAGAGGTTTATAAATAATACAAATGAAAGGTTTAATGACCTATTCACTGTGAGAATGATAAATAGAAATGTAATTTGCTCTGAAATTCTGCATATTTCTTTATTCTAAGAACTTGTGATTCAATACTTTACATAGAAAAAAACCCAAGAAAACACTGGCAAAATCCTAACCAAAAGCAACAATAAAAGTATTGAAAAGTTGAAAGTATTTAAGTAAGAATTAATACATGCACTTCAGTGATAAGATTATTATGACTAAGCTCCTTTAAGGAACATATAATTAAATTACTTCTATATATTTCTATAAATGTTGGCATTTACAAAGCCCTTTATATACATTATTTTCTTTTCATTTTAGTCCTTAACAGTCTCTTTTGGACACAGTAATAGGAAGAAAATAAGATGTAAAAAGGAACAAAATAACTTAAAGAAAAATATCTCCAGAGTTGATTTGAATCTAAATTCTGGAGATTTTTTTTTCATGACATAGTACAACCCTCTCCAACCTGTAAAAAATTTAATTCCATAGTGAGTGGAGTAGCTGTATCACAAAGGTTTAACTATTCTTAATATTTACTTCTTAATTTTTTATTATCATAAATTATATATATATAATAAAATTGTTCTAACCATTTTTAAATATACAATTCACTTGGTTTAAACAGTGTTGTGCAAATGCTACCATTATCCATCTAGAATTTTTCATTATTCCAAATAGAAACTCAGTACCTATTAATAATTCCCCATTCCTTATTTTCTTTTCAGTCCCTGGTAATCTCTATTCTACATTCTGTCTCTTTGAATTTATCTATTCTAGATCTCTCATGTACATGGAATCATGTTATTTGTCACCTTTGTTTGCCTTATTTCACTTGTAACACCTTCAAGGTTTACCCATATTGTAACACATATCAGAATTTCATTCCATTTCATGATTGTGGAATAACAAAGGCTACGATGACACCTGATTTAAACCCTTTTGTACGGAAGTTTCAAGTTTTAAAGTCATACTAGTATTCATATTTGTCATCGGTATCTATCATTGTATCTTTTGTTTCATTATTTTTAAGAAATGTACATAGGCCCCTGAGAACTTTCCTCTCCCTGGTGTGACCAAGGAGCCTTAATATTCCCTCCACCTTGACTAAACTCTAGATTTCTTTCTGACTATAGGTTTCTGTCCTCTCTTTTCTTAAAGCTATAGACACTTTGTAGTTGTAAATTCTTTCTTTGCCCCCTACAGGTGCTATCCCAGTCTCTTGCCAGTTTTATAAACCAGGAATATCTTTCTCAAGGATCTGAGAATTATCTTTGAAATGCAATCATGAAGATAGATAATGCCTCCGTGTTCCTGTCTCTAGGAGGACAGGAGCCTAACTGGTGAGTGCCCACTAGTTCACCCCACCTCTTAAAAGCTCCCATGCCTCTTTGCTTCAGGAGATGCGCTTAACCTCTCCTTAGTTCAAGTCTTGAATAAGGTCTTCCTTGCCTGTTTAATTTTTTATCTATTTATACATATTTTACATCATTCTTCCTCCTTGTCTGTTTCACTTGTCTGATACAACTTGTGTTTAACTGTGCTGGAGACAGAACATAAGCTAATAAAGAAAAAGTTTAAACAGGCACTACTCACAATGAAAAGAATGGGATAGACAAAATTAGAGGGGGGGAACTATTTAAAAAAATTAGTCCTCTGGCCTCTTGGAGGAGGTAATTTTAGAAGTTTGAAGGATGAGAAAGATTCTACCAAGAGCCAGGGGAGAAAAGGAGCAGATGAGGAACAGAAAGCACAGAGGCACAGACAAAAAAATCTTGGATAGGCTCAGTGAAACAAGAAGATTAAGATTGCTGCCATCTCTTAGGCGAGAATTAAGTGTCATAGCCATACTGCAGCAGAGAATGTGGGGAGGTGTAGAAGCTTGTGCTGTCCATAGGAGATGGGGTTTGAGGCTGAATATCTGCGTTTTTTGCTTGCTACTTACTTGATACGACAGTTGCATTAGTTGGGTAAAGATGCCTAGCAAAGTGACACAGGTAACACATAACAAAGTAACACAGAAATACATTTTACAACTCTGGAGACTAGGAGTCCAGATCAAGAACAGGTTTGTTTTTCTCTGAGGCTACTTTAATTTGCAGAGATTATCTTGTTGCTGTGGCCTCACAGGCCTGTCTTTTTCTCTGTGACTCATCCCGCACTACTCTTCTAGTAAAGATACGGTTGTACTAGAGGAGAACCCACCCAGGGATCCCATTTTAATTTAATTATCTCCTTAAAGGCCTTTTCTTCAAACAGTCACAGTCTAAGGTATTGGCAATTAGAGTCTCAACTATAAATTTGGAAGGGGAGCACAATATATAACAACATTGAACAATCTAATCTTTCTCCACTTCATCTACAAAATGGGATAATACATTCTCTAGCATATGGTAACCACTCATTCATGCATTCAATGAATGTTTTGTTTTTTAAATCAATTTTTAGAGATAAACAGGTTATCTGGTTTTTCCAGTTGTGTCATGTTTCTTTGAACACTTGTTCATTTTAATAAACTAATCATCTTAATACTTTGGTATACATAATTTTATTTTTCCTCAGATGTTAAAGAGAGGATTTTAAAGTTATGTGAACACTGTGATGAGACTACTTAAAGGTGTATACATTTAGCTTAATTTTCCTATATATCATCTCTGTAACCCCCTCAGGTTTTAAGCATTATTTAGACCTGTTTCCCAGTTTCAATTCTCCTAAAATTGTCAGAAACTTAATGGTGAGCTAAATGTGTTACATACACATGTGGAGTCTCAATGATCAACTCCCGAAATATATATTAATAATAACAAAATACTATCAAGAAATTACTAATTCTAATAGCTAAATCTGAATATTTTATTAAGTATCAGACACAGTGCTAAACATTTTAGAGTCTAAATAGATATTGTTTAAGGCAGCATTTTTAAAATATTACAACAATGCTGGTTTATTACAATGCTGCTTATATTGGTTTCTTGTGTACATCATTATGAATCAGTATCATATACATTATGCTCACTATTAATAGTCTAATTCCATGCAATTGATCTATTTGACCTGATTTATTCACCCTCCCTCCTTTCCCTCTGATAGTCATTAATTTTGTTTTATAATTTTATAAATTTTATTATTTTGTTTTATTTTTGTCTTAATTCATCTGATTGTTTTGTCTCTCTATGCACCACATGATTCAACTACTGTGGTGCTTGGACTGTAATTTTCACACAATGGCAACTAGTATTTTCAGATGTCAATGAAATTGACAGTTATGATGTCACAAAATTGTTTCCAAAATGATTTTTTCTGAGACTCTTATAATCTCAGATAGAGGAGTTTAATTGTAAGAAAAATATATGGCAATTGGACTAAATAAATATGTTATTAATATAATTGACAATGATGATTCCACTCATATAGCTTATATATTTAGAAAATATTTCAGTAAGTTAACAGTCTTTTGGAAATAAAAGTCCTTTAAAAACTCATGAGAAATAAAGAAATCAGTTTATTTTTCTCAATTGCTGCTTAAATGGTCTTGCCCAACTTGCTTACTTTTTGTTCAGTCCTGACTGCTAAAACCTATTAGTAAGAACCAGTTATGGCTAAGTATCCCGAAGGGGTTGATCTCCAAGTCCCACAGACTGCTATCCTGGACTCAATTTTACTTGTAAAAGCTAAAAATGAAATGAAATGCACAAACAGACTTGTCTTGGTAATCATAAGCCTACTTCTGTCTTAATGGTTTGGGCTTTTAGCAGAAATGCCACAGTTAGAGTTGAGTTAGGTCTTATACTGTAAAATAGAGCTGAATTTCCAAGAAAGAGGAAGACGTTCAAGGAAATGAAAATAGATAAGCACAGGGCAAATCTGATTCATTCTACTTTCTGCTGCCTTCCTGAACTGTTTTTATGTAGTCCTTTTATTTTTCTCTCGCAGATTGTCTCTTTCATAAAAATCCCTTCGTTTCCTTTTTGTGTCAGCACTCACTGCAAGGCAATTGTTCAAAAACGGCATTTCCAGGAGTGTTAGTCAGGTTTTGTTCTGTCTATGCTAGAATTTTATTGCTAGAAAAGCTTGTCTTTCATGTTAAAAAAATATCTTCTGCCCTCATCCTATACCATGATTAAATGCTGTGTTGTTTCTAAACTAATTTGCTTTGGCTTTTAAGGGAAAGTTTACCGTGCTTTTTTTTTTTTTTTTTGCAGTAGTTTTATAGGACTACTTTATTCTCTGTTCTTTGAAAACAATAATAAATGTTTGGTCACTCTCCAGAAGCAAAATAAATCCAAGAATATTATGACATACCATTTAGGGAGATGATCAATGATAATGGGTCAACTTTCTGGGAAGTAAAACAGTAGTCTTGAATATTTAACAGAAATGAGTACTTCATATATTAATTTTAAAATCTAGTACATTTTTATGCCCTTTATTCTACTTTTCAGTGTAACTTTATTATATTTGTTCAGATTCCCTCACAATTTAATGTGAAGTAGGAAATGGTAAAATAATTGTCTAGATTTGCTCATTCACATTCTTTCATTACTGAATATTAAATTAGACTTTTGCATTTA